CGAATGACCGGCCGTGGATGGGCGCACATCAGAGCCGCCTTATGGGCAGCTTCCAGCTGCCGACTCGGTGCATCATCGAGGTCATTGGTGATTACACCACATCCCTCAGGTGACGAGAAGTCAGGAAACGGACATGGGGTCCGCTAGGCGCGAGCAGGGCTCGCTGGTGCGGCTCGCTTTATACGTCAGTCCATCCGGGAACAGAGTGTCAGGCTCGTAGAGGACCGCCCTTACATCCCCATCGAGGTCACTCGTCAAGGCTAGCGTGCGCGGAGCGCGACGCTCGGGCTCATCGAGCCTAGGATTTACATCTCTCGATACCGAGAGACACGGTCCGATATAGCACCGTGTGCGGGAGATGAAGCTGGGCTCTACCCGTGAGCGCTGCCGGAACCAGCTAGACTTGGAGACTTCGGTGTTATTGACAGAGGGCTCATTGAGCACGGAAGTCATTTTGTTCAAAGGCAGTGTCCAACGGACACGTAAGCCTCGTTGATGCAATTATCGATTGGAACTGTAAATGTTCTCAATCTTAATGGGGGGAGAGAGTGTAACGGGATTACACATACCCTGGTGACACGGGAGGGTGTCACACCAGATGCGCATGGTGTGACCACACCCAAACAAGAACACGGTACGGGGCTGGATAGCCAGTAGCTATACATGTATTTAGATTTACTCTACATAAGTAGAAAAATTTATGCACTTAAAATCAGGCGGCTTTGCCGCAGATAAAAATAAATAAAGTCAGTTTTTAATTTAAACCGAAGAGTTAATTAGCCTTAGGTTAAGGTTGTACTCTTGGAGTCAGCGGATTGCGATCCGCTGAACTCGTACTTGTTCTAAGTATAGAATGAAAGGTCGGTGACCTAACTTACGCTTTCTCTAAGCGCAAAGCTACGGCAGCCCCGCTGCAAAACCGCTGTGCTAGTCCTCAACATATAATATGCCTGTATCCAAATTTGACCATTAATCACATGATAATCGGACTGAGCTGAAGCTCAAAATGGATATACAGTTAGGAAACAAATCCCAGTGGATTTCTAAAGTGCTGAAGAGACATCAAGCTCAATTCGTGAAGCATCCATTTCCCAGACAGTGCCACTCAAATGGATGCATATCTGCTAGGTCTCGACGTCCGTCATAAGGCAGAACATTTCGTTAACTTGTGTTACGCGATAATTTAATGCTGATGAAGTGTTTTGCAATTCTGTCCCAAAAAATCGCACCTTGTCGTCCAACGAAAGTCGACTTCAGGATAAACATAGATGAGAAAAAGAGCTAGACTGCTGTGGCTGCATACGAAAATGTTCAAACGCGTGTGTCGGTGACAAAACATTTACTCGATGATTCGCTAATTCAAATGCGTCAACCACCGTAGCTTTCCACCCAAAATACTAGACAGACAAAGAAGTATGCTTTTTTTACCTGCATCGGATTTGATCCTGTTATCGAGTGGAATAGCTTGATTTTGAGATGTGGTCTCGAGCTATTTCTATGACGCCGTTGTGAAGAAAGCAGCCCAACAAAATATTATACTAGTTTTGATTTCTCCTGGCTTTAGAAGCTTGATTCATGTTTGCGATTCAATCGCTGACGAACCTATAAAGCAGGCGCTCAAATGTCACTGTGTTGCATGTTTAATACGATCAGATCCTGGTTCGTGCACTTTTACCATATTTATATTTAGAAACTCTTTTCAAAAATGTACTTAGGTATTTTTATTGTAAAGTACGGTATTGTGGATATATTGCTCAGTCACAAGTCATTAAATGCTTTCGAAGATCATCGCGCATACAACCTCAATGATATAATACCTACAAAACAAACGAATGATGATTGTGACTATACATTGAAAGCATCGACATGGTATTGGTAACATGAGCAACTAACAGCAACACATTCCTTTCAGTCGAATCATCAAACTAGTCAAACGCTTTTATACTTTTTCCTTACACCACAATATCTCTCAAGCACTTTATCAAAAAAAAGCAGCAATTTTCATAAGCGATTTACAAATCTTGCTGTAGTACATTAGCTACCATTATCAAGATGATATTTATTCAGCTGTTGAGATTAGGTTTATGCTATGTCTAGCTTGAAATATAAGATGCTACAGTTAGAGAACCTAACATTTCAGTTTAGTTTTCCATGAGCTCTCCATAAGTCTTCCGCCCTTAAATTCTCAAAATGGCGGGAACGTTAAGTCGCTTCTTCAAGTCGGCGTCGAGTTCAGGGGCTTTTGCAAGCATTTACAATAATGTGCAACTGCTTCAGACGTCACAGAAATTATACGATCAAATTCTGCCGTCTGCAGCAACAATCGGCGTAGACGAGAGCAACACACGCAGTAAGGAAAGCGAACCAGATAAGATCTGGGCCTTAGTAGCAATTGTGGCTACCGGCATGACGCAAGAGATTAAATTGGAACAAGCAGAAACTGAGCAAGAATTGACAGATTCAAAGACAACATTAAATTGGCATTTAGTGCAGTTGCTAGCCGAGGCAGATGTCGGTTTGCAAGAATTTCTGCTCTACTTGACAAGTCTTTTCAATCGTCTTTTACTCGAGCCAGAGCTTATTACGGCTACTACATTGCTCAAAGAAGATTTTACAATTGCCACGTTACTTTTTGAAAAATATCGCATGCTTTGGGAGAAGTTTGTGCCCAAGTCCAAGAAATCGCTTTCTACGTCAGATCCCGAGCCAGAGAGTGATGATTCACAGCAGAGAGAGCAAAAGGCATGCACACGACACCAAAACCTCTTTGAAAGTGGATGGTTGCTTTTTATCTTGGCAAAACGAAGACTGGGAGCGCATTATTCCGGACTGGGACAATTGTATAATTTGCTACTGGCCACGCTGCATCTGGTGATTGCAAATGCTCAAGCGTCTCAAGCGACAATTGAAATGGAAGTAGCAGCTGCATTAAGTGCGATGGGAGCGCTAGGAGCGGACAACGCGTCGCCTTTAAAGACCGCAGCAGGAGTGAAGACAAGTGCTCAGATCTGCGAAGCCCTTTGTTCTGTACCCAAAGTGAACTCGACGGATGTTTTTCGAGCATCTGAACACTTGGGGCTTGTACTTGTGCAATTACGAGAAGAAAATGTGCTGCAAATAGAAGCAGGGAAACAACCTATACTGAGTATGACGCTATTTGCCGACAATGTGCTGGAAGCTAATGTAACAAGATTATATGAGAGATATGAGAAAGATTATTTGGATGGATGTGGCAAATTGGATGAACGTTTTTATCTGGATAAACGTATTCGATGTATTATTATGGGAAGAAATGGCGCACATAAAGAGAATGAACACGACTCTTTGAGCTTATGTGGAACGGAATCAAATGGCAACTGCAGTACCAGTCGAAGTGCGATATTATCACCGGTACGCCGTAATATGCATGCTCGAAGACAAGAAAAGAAAAATGGAATTGGATCTTCAATTTCAATGACAAGAGGAGTGATGACGCCGCCCCGCCATCGCCAACTTCCGTATGGAACAAACTCTCCTTTAATACATTCGTGGCAATGGCAAGGATCTCCAAGAAATGTGCGTTTGATCGCGCCTAGTCTAAGTCCATGCCCATCTCCATCAAGCATCCAATCACCAGTCACGACCGCAGTCGAGATCAATAATTTGGTGCGAGAGGTACTTTCGAGCACCATGTTGACACCCGTGACACCACAGCTACGTCAATTTTTTGCAGATTGTGTGGTAGATCCGACAGAACGCATAACCCGCGTATTGAACGAACACTCAGACTTGCTTCTAGCTGCACGAAATGCAAGTCAGGTCACGTCAGGAAATGTGCCTTCAACTGCGACAATGGTGCTTGACTTTGAACAAGACTCTACGACAAATGAAATTGGCAGCGAGAAAAATGCATTTTCTTCATCTGGTCTGGATGACACTTTGAAACGCATCAAGAATTTGACGATCGTACTTTTTTACCGTGTATTAGAACCATTGCTCTTGTCCGAGCGTAAACGACTGCGCACGACAGATTTTTCAAAACTGCTTAATAATGAGGTCTTTCTTGCTGCGCTATTTGCGTGCAGTGCGGAAGTGGTGCTGAAAGCGCATTCTCTCATTACGATTTCGTACCCGTTTTTGCTGGAACATTTGCACGTAAATGTTTTCCACTTTGTAACTACAAGTGAAAGTTTCGTCAAGTACGCACCAAAGCTTCCGTCTGCCTTAAAAAAACACATGAGTGATGTCAAGAATCATATTCTAGATTCGGTCGTATGGAAATCGAGCTCTGCGCTTTATCAGCTTCTTCCTCAAAGTAAGGACCGGTCATCTGATTTAAATACGTCTTGCATGACCGACTCTTCGAACAAAGTTGCTCCAATTGCTTACGCACCCGTGCTTCGTCTCTTCTTTCGCATGGTGTTCTCACGTGCAGCCTCAAGAATCTATCAATATTGCAATCTTTTGAATCTGGACGCTACTGACCAAAGCCATATCTGGACAGTTGTGAAAGAATGTATCTCCTCTCATCAGTATCTCTTGCAAAATCGTCATCTGGACTTGATCGTACTGTGCAGTATATATGGTGTATGCAAGGTATCTCGTGGGCCTAATGTGTCCAAAGCAGCAGCAACAGTTTCGTTTAAAAAATTATTAGCATGTCACAAGCAACTTAGCAGGCAAACATCAACTGATTCAAAGTCAATCGTAGGCACTCAATTTGTGTCGTCACGCACTGGTGAGGGAGTGACATATGGAATTCCTTTAGAAAATGCATCATTGAAAGGAGATATTATCAAATTCTACAACCGATGCTTCATCACACCCATGAAGGTTTTTATTCTTCAATTTCAATGTCACGAGTCGCAAATGGCTGCGGCTGACGCTATCGTAGCCAATGCTTCAAGTGCGTCACAAGCACTTCCTCCAGGTTTTATGATCCGAAGAGAAGGTACGATGGGCTTAACCGCATTGACATCGGATGCTGAAAGTATTAGCTGCGCCGCCTCAGACGCCGTCCGGAAGTTTTTTGAACCACAAATACCAAGTACGGGCACAATTCATGACACGAGTAAATTTGCCCCAAGCACCCCTCCGCATTCTCTTCATCGTCAATCCTCACCGTTTTTATATTCGCCAGCTGCCACAGCTCTCCAAATGTTCACCACAGCTGAAGTTCAAACACTACCAGTATCCATTTATCAGACGTCGCCGATGCGTGTCAAGTCTTCGAATATTTTTATGTCTCCGCTGCAGCAAGTTCGTTTAGATCGACGTTCTGATTTAACCCCACGGTCGCACGCCTTGTATGCGATTGGTGAGAGCCCGGCACGCGTAAGTTTTATAGATTCTAGTGAGTCGCGGTGATTCATTTTACTAATACGCTGTGTTTAAATGAAATGTGACAGAATTTGGCGTTAATAAACCGCGCAGTTAACACGGCACCAGCCAATCTGCGACGTGTCCGTGCACCGAATCTTGTTATGGACAGCGACACAGAGCAAGACTCGACTCGAGTCTGTAAGAAACAAAAATCAGCTATGTAAGTCAATTGTACTTGTAGATTATGCGTTAATGTGTTTCGAAAGTGAGCAACAGCTACTCCTTGCTGAGATCTACAAAGCCTAATCGCTTACAGATCACATGTATGCGATAAAGAATTCATGTGTTGGATATCAATACTCATCTTGTTTTCTAATGTGACCCTTCTACCAACATCTCCATAGTGAATACATTGTCGATCATTCGTTTTGTTTGCGCAAAATTTAAGATCGAATGACAAAATCTTAACATTGTCCGAGCCAACCTCAACTTAAATGTTTGTGACTTCAATCTCTGGTTCGTCGCTTTCACTGCTGTCTCGACCATTCATAATTGGATGTGATATTTCATCGTCACTGTTCAACTCATCGGCCACAGGATCAGTATCAGTTGCGTTAAGACGGCCGCGCAATGCAGCACCTTCTTGGAGCTGTCGCACCAACCAACCTTCGTCGGCCATAGATAGATTATCAAAAGTATCACGAGTTGTGTCATACGCAAAACTGAACTCGTCAAAATGCGACTCGTCACTGGAATTGGCGACGGTCGTTGCTTTTTTTCCATTAACAGCTTTGCGATCTTCACCAATGGTCTCATCCACATTCATGTTGCGAAAGTGTTCGTGCACATTTTGCATTAACTCTCGCGTGGGCGGAATAAAAGGCGGCTCCACCTCTTTCGCCTCCAATTTTTCCCAGTCGATCGTGTTGAAAAATGGGTGGCTACGAACGCCATCAATATCAATGCGTTCCGCAGGATCACGAACCAGCAACTTTTTTAGCAAATCAATCGCATCATCATCGATCGGCGGATACCTGTCGTATTTCACATCGGCTGTCTGAATCTTCTTGTACATAGTAGAAATATTGGCGTCAAAGAATGGTGTACTTCCTGTCAGCATTTCGTAGAGAAGAACACCATAGCTCCACCAATCCGCTGCCATACCATACTGAGGCTTTTGCGTTAGTAATTGCTCAGGTGCAATGTACGCAGGAGAGCCGGCGAGCGTTCCAGCCTGAGAATAATAGTGGCTGCCTGGCCCTCCTTCCAAGCGAAGCTGCTTTGAAATTCCAAAGTCTACAAGTCGGATGTTGCCTGTTTTATCGAGCATTATGTTGTCCGGCTTTAAATCACGGTAGATAATACCGTGTGCGTGCAAATATGACAGAGCAATTGCTAATTCAGCCGCGTAGAAACGAGCACGCTCGACTGAAAAACGTCTACCACTGCTCGTTGATACGTTAGGATCCATTTTTGAAGAATGCATATGCAAATACAAATTGCCACCCTTGTAATAATCCATTCCAAGGTACAATTTGGTTTGTGTCTGGAACGCGAAGCGCAAGCAAGTCAAAAATGGATGTCGCACACCGGACAGAATGCGTCGTTCTTTTAATGCACTCTCAGCACCCGACTGCTTGTCAATGATCTTTATCGCAAAGTATTCTTCTGGATTAAGGTGACGCTGGACAAGGACCACAGTACCAAATCCACCTTGACCAAGCACACCTACGACATCAAAGTCCGAAAATGATAGTGCCAAAGATCGTTTTGTAAGACAGTACTGATGGAAACAAGACGGATGCTCGGCCACGACCATGGGATTAGTCGTCACGCGACGCAACCTCGCAGCCTTTGATGAGCGTTGTCGAAATGACAGTACGACACGCGAGATTCGACGTGCTGGAGTGAAGGTCATTTGCAGTCCAAATTTGCCCTCAGTCATCGATCCAGACACGGTATTGATGAGACGATACCCCAAGCACGCAAACGCATGGTGGTCATCATCATCAGCCTTATGCACAGAGTTTTCTTCTGAGTCCGTGATCAGCAAGTACTTGCTCTTGTACAATGCTGAGAAGTGCACAAAACCTTCTCGGCCGTGGTAAATGCCCTTAAACACACAAGAAGGCTGTCCTGTTTCACTTGTCTCGAGATCAAAGAGCAATTCGACGTCTTTACTTAACTGACGCAAAAATGATGGTAAACTCTCAATGATTTTTTCCGTGGATGACTCAGCCAAAAGGTGCACGAGATCAGCCAAGAATTTCTTGGCAATGTGCGTTGTTACCGTCGACTCAAGTGACACGACTTCATCAGCTGAGCGAGCTGTTGGAGTTGCAGGCAAGTGTCGTCCGTTTTGCGGCTGTGGAGTTTCTTTCGGCGATGAGTTGGACAGACTCTGGTGCATCATGTACATCCACATAGATTTTTCAACGGCTGACGCTGCAACAAAGTGGATCAAGTTGCCATCAGTTGCCAAAATACTAAATCCTAGTGCTTCAGGCTTAAGTTTAGAGCCGCCAAAGCCCGCAGACGGCAGCGAGCTAAGAATCTGTTTGATAACCCACCGTCCGCGGTGCTGTTCCTTGGCCAGTGCATGATTTTTAGTCTTATAAATCGAGACAATACGATTTTGTAGCGTGATATAACGTGGCGTCCAGCTCTTGACAATCTTACGCTGTTTGTAGAGATACCCTTCCCACTCAACTTCCTCCGCCGTTATGGTTTTTAAATCGATAAGATTCGGCATGGACATGGCATCGTTGCTCTTCTGTTTTTGGCTCTTACTACTAGTAAGTGAAGCCGAGGTAAAATTAGTGCCGCTGTTTGTGTTTGTACCGCGTGAGAACGATGGCCGTCGGTTTAGCGTATTGGAACTCCCGCTGCCGTTTGTCGGTGGACCACCGAGGCTAGCCTTGCGTCGGTGCCCACGAACCACCTGCGTGAGGTTTGAGCCCGACGAGTTACGCAGTAGCAGATGTGCCTCAAGCATGTGCGCCATGATTTACTATACAAGACAATGCGGACAAATGCGGAAGGTGTTCTATCGATGAGAAGAGTAATCAAAGCGATGAAGTCAAATGTAACAGGTAGAGAAAAACTGTCGTGACGATGCTATTCTTCCCGGGTTCCTAGCGTCCCTGTTTCTCACTCTCGCTCTTTTTGCTTTCTGACAATTGAGGCACCAATACAACACGCGTACTACAGCTGGGTGTGTACGTCCGAATCTCCAAAGCTTTATCTGTTCTCCCGTACACAGACCAGTTCGTGCCAGTACCCTGTCGGTTTCAATACAAACTTTTTGCAGATAAAGTTAGTGTGTGCCACGCCATCCGGTGATAAAATTTACTTTAGCTTTTTGTAATCAAATTTGCATCATCTGCGTTATTCTTTGTAAGCAAAAAATTCTTAAGGTTTGGAAATTTAATATTATTTTATAACTATATTCTAATTTATTCATGAGCCGGGCGTCGACAGAAAAACTCGAGAGCACAACCTTTGCGATGATACCACATTAGATGCATGAGTATGAAGCGTCATGTACACGTACTGCATCTGAAGCTGCGATTTAATAGGTAAAGTTGCTAGTGAACAGAGAATCCTCTTTCGTAATACAAAGGTTTCAAAAAAAATACGATATAGAATCGCGCCAAGCACTATCATGATCAGTTTTATACTACATATAAAAGCAGCTGCCATGGTAAGAGTCTAAAACGTAACCTCTTTATGTGTATGTATTGATAATAAGAGTTGTACCGAAGCAGCTGCTATACCAGGTACAAATTTCATAAGTGACCTCGTTTGTTTCTAGTGTCTGATTGGTAAGGATATCCGGCTCTGCAGCGCAGAAAGCCGACAAGGGACAGGGTGTGCATTTAAACGTACTCTACCACTTCATTATGTGCTTTCAAACATGGCTTAATGATGTAAATCGATAAAGCTTTGCATAACTGGATGGTGAGCTTGCAACGTCTAAACAACACGAGCAAGGGGCCGTCGTGCATTGCAAAGGTGCTTTTATCGTTGCCTAAGCCAGATTTGTCAGCTGGCGATCGACGCAAGTCAACAAAAATAGTGCGCAAATTGAATTTGGTGTTCACCACGATGGTGAACTACTTTGTAGATATAAATAGGAAATAAAAAGGAGTTTGGTCAACTCGGCGAATTCCTTACCGATAATATACTGTTTGTTATATATGTGTTGGTGTGCGCAGAGCTTTCTACCTTTAAAGCTTGCCATTTCACATATGTATCTTGCTGAAAGCAAAGCAAGAAGCCATGAATCAGTACGAGTCGCTTACTCTTCTTCAGTGAGCTATGAGCTACGAGTGATTCCGCTTTCACCTTCTGTTCGAATATGACAAATGTCGGCGAGTCAGACACAATATGAATGTGTTGATGGGATGTCGACAATTAATTCCTTGTGAGGCTCATTCAGTGTACCTGCAATTACTTAAAGAGAAGTTAGCTTCTTTTAAAACTTACTACCAAGATTGTTCGTTGTCCCGATCAAATGCTTATCTTCTTGGAAGAAGACGTGAGTGATGAAGTTTGAAGCCCATGACACTGAATCCAACGTCGTCATTAACATTCGGACGCTTTCAATAAGTAAGTCAAAACAAAGTGGAGGAAGACGGAGCAGTGCCGTTGAAGTTGTCTGCGGACATGCCAATATGTCAGGAAAAATACTGCCCTGCAAGTCGCCGGTCCTTCGCTCTGCGTGTTTTTACATCCACTCAAGACATTTGGATATTGCAAGCCAAGCATCAATCTTTGCGCTGCACACAGATGTGAGTATTAGCTGTTGTGCGAAAGCATAAAATTACAGACGCCCTTTGTAGTTTTAATGTAGCATATGCTGCTGTATCAAAATGGCGCGAGATACCCTTTTAAGCATATGCTGCTTTATTAAGAAAATGGCGAGACCATGCACCATAGTCTCAAGGATGCTAAACATTGGCTGTAGAATCCTTTTGAAGCTTGTTTCTATCAGCGATGCTTTAACGCCATAAAAGCTCTTCTAACTTTATCAAGAGTCGAGTGATCCAAGTGCAGCAACTTTTATGATCTCGAGCTATGCATGCATGTGCTTCCCTCATTCTTTCCATTCAGTTCAAGCAGAAAAGACGCACATTTTGATAGCAAGCGGGATTGCTTGGATTTGTCGTATCTCAAATTTTTTCTTTTGCTCCTTTACATTTCCGCCGATCACTTTGGATTTCAACGCTAAACATAAACAATTTGAATTAAATGCAAATTCGTTACAATTCGCTGGAATTGCGTAATCATTATTGTTGTGGGAAATTTACCCTCTCGAAAAATTTTGCTAAAAAGATTTTGTGTACAATCACAGTGCAGCGAGCGTAAAAATGCTCCTACCTGGAAAGGCTTCCAACCGTCGTCTGATTCATGATGTGAAAAGAAGATCATGTACAAATTGGCAATCGAGCATGTTTTGATTGAAATCAGCAAGCATCAATTTTCTATTTTATCATCGAATTTGAAGCTAACGCGGCACTCGCCACTAATGATATCTGCCAGGTGTTTCAAATGCGTGCATAGTCAAATGACTACGCATGTGCTCAAGAATTTTCAGAGTCACCCAACATGCAAGAGACGCACCAGTTGTGGTTGTTGTCATTCTCGATTAAAAAGCTTACAAACGACCTTCTACTCATATTTAAACCTCAAGCTCAGCTTTTGTATCCGACAGGATGATTTGCCTATCACTCTTATCTTTCCACAGATGCGGAGCTTATTGCTCCGCATCTTAATTTTTTTCTATACGTGCGAGAGTAATGACAAATGGTATTGTTACCTTCTTGTCATTCAGCGACTGATAAAATTCACATTTGTCCAGCCACTTCTGACCAGTGACTTCGGCAATCAGCACCAGCGCACGACCAGCTCCATGATTTTATTAAATCATTCATTCGTGTGGAGATCCATAAGCCCAGCACTGGTATTCCAGCATTGGACGCAACTATTGATATCGCAATGACCTTCTTGCCTTCTATAGTCTCTGAAACATACCTTTTACAGAGCCCGACAAGAGATGATTCATCAGTGCAAAATTGTTAGTACATCGTGCTAACGCGAGTTTAACACTTCAGCATCGCGAGACAGGATACAATGTATTCGATTTAATCTATCTTCTACATCATATCGGCAACAATGCTTCTTGTTCTATATCCAGCACACAGTTTGTCACGCAGCTTTACAAAATACAGATAATTTGATATCAAGTGTGTATTCAATTTGAATGATTACTGTAGACTCAGACAATCATAGCCTTAGACGCTGCATACTGCAATCTGACGTATATTAAACTTGGATATAGCGTCGCTGAAGATAATCATAAGTTCACCGGGGCAATAGCTTCCGATGCGATATGGACGACTAAACGAACAGGATTATTAAGACTAGGAATACGTTGTTCCATCCACGAGCCAGTACACATTTCACGTCGATCAATACTCATAGACAGTTCTACGAATACCAGAAATGCCACAATTATCAATCGATTCAGAGGATTAAACGCGAGTCAACGGTTTGCTTTTTTATCTGCAATTGGTGAGCACAAATCAGCATCGCCAATTCGCGCCAGTAGCACCACCTTTCACTCTCACAATGCTTACCACCACGTAATTTAAATCTCTTGACCTTGGCTCTACCTTTGTCGAGAATGCAGCTCGATAAAAATTGGAAGCCAGAATTTTTAGCGGAAAATACTCAACAAATACTTTGCAGCATGTATATTTTTCTTTAATCTCAGAAGCATCGTTAACTAACAAACCATGATACCTGAGTCAAAGGTGATCGTTGTCGCTCTGGAAGGTTCCCACGGTTGTGGCAAGACAGTTCTATGTAATGAGTTTGCAACGCAAGGTTACATTGTACTAGACGAGGCTTTCATGAGCATGCCTGCCTATTCGCTGCATCCCCAGTCGCTACTAATGGAGACATTGTGGGTCTGCTCGTGGTTTGAACGCGTGCTGCGGCTCACAAACAGCGTGGAGCCTGGGTGTAAACAGGTCATAATCGCTGACCGCTCACCCTACAGTGCTGTGCTTTACTCGGACAACGGCCACCTCTTGGAGCCTGTCATTCGCGAGCAGATGCGAGAAGTACAAAACTCTGCGGGTGTTCGGTTCTATATGGTGCATGTCCGGGTAGAGCGCGAGCTCCTCTGGCGTCGTATCTGCGCCCGTCTTGAACATTCTCCTGAGCGGTTTCGGCTAAGAGAGCACAAGCGCGATTGGATGGACGAGACACTCGCTTTTTATGAAGCATTTGACTGGGACTTGACTGTGACAAATGATGAACGCAGTGTGGCGACAATCGCAAAGAACATAAGGATGCTGCTAAGCGAGCAGGACGATACGTTTCGGATTGTGAGTGCGACGAAAGCTAGTGAAAGTTTTTCCTCCAAAATCTCGGTTAGTAGCCCTCGAACCACTGGCAACGAGAGTAGAAATACAGGAGAAGAGCTTGATATGCGAGGAAAGTCGTCATCATTTTCTGATCTATCAACGACACCCTGAAAAATATTTACATTTACTGGATGAACTCTACAAGAGAAATTGCCGCAGCTTTCGTCAGTGAGAACATATTAAACAGCTTAAACATTCTCGGTCATTCAAAAAAACTAATTATATCCAAAGAGATTAAGCTACTTCATATGCCTTGCGAGCAAAGTGATCAACGCATTACAAAAAAGCTCACGCCACGTTGCCACAAGACGGTTAATATGTGGACTTTATGCGCACTGAAGCAACTATCACAGCATAGCACATTGCATTATACAGTAGTAGCCGAAAAATGTCCGAGTTGTTGCCATTGAGTGTATCGTCAGCAAAAAGCTGCTCCCAAATCAATCGCTCCACTTGATATGGGTAGTAGCGTTAAAATGGCATTGTCGTGCATCTAGAAAAGAGAAATCTTTGACTCGATGAGTCCGAACCGGAACCAAGAGTCTCAAGAAGAAGTAGGAAAATCGCTTTTCTTCTATTTCGGAAGCAGCAGAAATCTAGAATCAAGTTAGATTTGCTCGGAGATAATTACTTGTTTGACCATCTACGAAAATAGAGTCCTGTGTACTGCGTAACGTGAGGATGTGTCCAACGGATTTATTTTTTTTTCGTCCCAAAATCGATGTGGGAGCAACCGCAATAGCACAGGGGTCGCTCCCGCAAGTGCTTCGAAGGATGCCCTCGACTAGGCGATGAACGTATTCCGTCTAGTTTTATTCGGATGGTCGGCGGTGAACACGCATAATCTGGATTGTAGCAAACTAAATAAACTTTGCCAAAACTTTGCTATAAGCACTTACCAAGGTATTGTCGCTTGTGCTGCTCTGCCTCGTATATTTCTTGAAAGTCATAGTTTACGCTTGGATAATGGCTCCATTGGAGGATAGTTTGATAGTAGCACGCTTTTTGAAAAAAAATCGGTGCTAGGAAAAATCTTCGCACGAGAAGCATACCTCGATAGCGTCACATCTTTATCTCTAATGGTTTTGGTATTGTGACGCGATATTGCTCTCGAAACCGGGTACGTGCAGCATGTGTGGTGAGTCTTGTGTCTTCACGTCGTAACATTCATTCAAGAAAGGAATAAATAGGATCCAGATGATTCTTGGGAAGTGATGTAAAAGCTTAAAAGTTATTCGTTAACGATATTAAATTACAACAAATGAGCATCTTTAACGGTTGACTCCATACTATCAGTTGCTTTGCATGGCTAGCCATGTAATGAAAACGGGAATCTGTTAGAAGGTAAAAGCTATCGCACTTTTGGACATCAAATCGATGATCTCTTTCAGGAAAGTGCACTTAAAAAAACGCAAAAAGCGAAAGTACTTTCAAAACCTGAATTGATCATGTCATGCTTGCCATTATTGTTCATTTCTCAGTGGTCAACAAATGGATGTTTCTTTTTGCAGAGGGTGTCGTGATCATCACGCAATGAATGCTTCGACACCACGATATCATGTCATCTATTCCATATAGCATGAATTCGTATGCGCTATCCAGATGCGAAACAGATCGTCCCCCTAAATAATTGCTTTGACTTGATTTAAATTAAGTGACACACATTAAGAATTAGTTTTGTAGTTCAATAATCTTGAACATCAAACTTTATATGCTTGAAAGTGTGAGGGTAACTATGCATAACCTTCTCCACTTTTTGTAACCTCGTCCATAAAATCACAATCACGATACCTCAATATGGCACTTTATCTCGGTGCTTCGAGCCCTGGAGTGTAAAGTGTACGTGCACCATGATACGCTACGTACCTCGTGACACTATCCCCAACATAGATTTATAGTACGATGGATTTTGTCATTGCGTAACTGCAATGGTGTGTCAAGTACCATTCACAAAGTGACCTCAGCAGTCTACGATAACAACGCACAGCGGATTGATTATTACGCCCTACCGAGCAGATAGAAGCTGGTAGCCTCTCAAAAAACACAATACTTATTTGCTCTTTTTAATCTCAAGCGGGAGATCAGGTCAAAATTTAACAATATTGGATAAATATATCCAATCGCGATGCTCTATGTATGTAGTGCACGACGGAGTAAAATCGCCGATATATTCCACAGACCTCTCTGCTTGGAGTCCAGCATCAGTACTTTGGTCACTCCGAGCTTTGCGTAGACATGATACGTCATTTACCTATATGTAAAGCTCTTACATCGTGTAAACTCAATTATTCGTTGAACACTCAATGCAATTGGGGTTCATTCTAGCCTTAGCAAGCCTAACCTTATCAACCTCATCCTCATAAGGTGTCATCTAAATAGCTAATAAATAAACTGTCAGAGCCCCGCGGCTCTGCGGCCGACAGACTTACAGCCCGTCTCGGTGAGCAAGCCGAAGTGTTCTTTCATGTGAACGGTCGCAGTAATTTTCTGCTGGCTTCGTCTTCGCTGATGAACACACCATCACTGCCCTAGGGAAGAGATGTATTGGGGTTACACGAACCCTGATAACAGGGGGGGTCATACGAGATGTACCTGGTGTGACCACACCCAAACAAGAATACGGGACGGGGCTAGGTAGCCGGTAGTTATGCATGTATTTATATTTTACTCTACATGTTTAGTACATTTAGGAAAATCTAAACTTTTAAAATTAGGATAAATAAAGAACTAAAAGTTTAGTTCTGAATTTAAATCGAAGAGTCAATTAGCATTGGGAAGGCAATAATTACTATTGGAGTAAGCGGATTGCGATCCGCTAACTCATGCCTGGTTCTTGTAAAGAACGAAAGGCCGGTGACCTAAAGTACGCTTCCTCAAGCGCTTGGCTACGGGGCTGCAGGATCTCACGACGGTTTTGAGCCTATTTTGTATGGGCCGAAACGGATACAAGACTTCCACAGACTGGACCACGTCGCAATGAAAAACGTCATCATTTCTTTACCACTCTAATGATGTTCAAGGGCACGGGTCTTTTAGTTATCCAAAAGGCTACAGAAGCGATTGAACGTCGCAAAGCATAAGCTACTTTACCCCTTAGGCGACCACTGTTTAGGCGGGTCGTCTCCGGGCGAAGCAGCAACGTTCAATTTAGTAGGGAGTCTCCATACATAACAGTTCCTTAGTGCTGAAATCTGAATGCTGGTAACTCGGAATGTATCGCACTCGATTCACACACTGTGTGAGCAAGCCACGTCTTCTCAAGTGATTTACAGTTTTTAAATGGAAAGCACGAGAAGTGAATAATCATAATCTCGAGTTCTTTTGTTAACAAATTTGCGCATGTCCACGAGGTACTGAATATCGCTTAAAATTCGCTTGATCACTATCCGTTATGCATGAAAATGAGTCGCCCTGTCTTTATCGAGCAGTGCCGATGGGAAACGACTTTTTCACGGCTATCTGTCGTGGGCTTACTCGGACATAATTACTCGTCATGTCTCTCTCTGAAGTCGGCACGTGGTCATTTTCTAAGATATGCCTTTTCTATTGCAGTCTCAAAGTAGCACTTTTGTATGCAGTACCTCAAGAGTTTCAGACCCTATTCATATTTATAAAGCAAAACGTATCTCATCTACCAGGGATATTGAGATTGCTTAGTACACCAATTTACAGTGCTATTCGCTAACAAATGGCACTTGGCAGCGGTGAACTATCGATAAAGCACGATTACAATCAAATCAAATAAACAGAGTTCGTGCATATTGCTCCTTTATGCAGCGGGGCTGTCGTAGCTCTTTACTTAGAGGGAGCTAAGCTAAGGTCACCGACCGTACGTTATTTCCAAGAACCTGTAGAAGTGTAGCTACATCTAGGTACTAAAGCCTTACAAAGTCAGACAAACACTCCTGTTTAAAAACGAAAATATTTTTCATTGTTTTAGTTGCGGTAGAGACGCCAATTTCTAAGACCGTGCGCTTTCTTAAAAACATAGTAATATCTGATTGATATTGCAAGATCTAGCTAATATAGTAATATGCATGACTACTGGCAATCCCGCCCACGTGGTGGCTTCTTGTTACGGTGTAGCCACACCACTGTGTGATCACACTAAGTGTGTTATACAAACCTTTGTACGATCGCACAATCTCGTGCGACCCGCCCCTTCTTACAAGGACAGGCGTTACCCCGTTACACTCTTTCCCATGAACATTGCGAATTTCCCCAATTTATATTCAACGGTCGTCTCGTAAGAGGCTCGCGTGTCTGAGACACCTTAACGTTCTTTTGGAATAAATTTCAACATTTTCCGCTCTATGAGCCTTGCGTCCACGACACGCAAAACGCTCAGCCTAGCTAGTAGCGAGGGCTGGGTGTTTTGCGTGTTAAAAACACAGGGCTCTTAGAGCAGAGAATATTAAAGGTTATTCTTAACTACGGAACGGTGTCTCAGGCAAGGGCGCCCGCGGGCAAAGCTCCTTATCCTCTCTGTCATAGGGTGTATATCCGGACAGTACGTCCGCGGCTTCACGGGAAGCACATCTCAAGCCCTCGTCAACTGGGGGCAACACCGGGCGATGATTTACTCGTCAAGGAGTTGGAGAAAGTTGACTACGAGTCGGACACTCCTTTCCGAGCGTGAGATGGTGAGTTAGTTGAAGTGCGCCAGCGAGCCAAGCTCAAATCCTGCGGACACCATGTCCGCTCCCCCGACCTCTCGGGTTACGGGGAAAGTGATATCATTACCAATCGCCCCGACGAGGCACATGAGCAGCCTCTAATTGCTACTGACAGGGCGGTTCTCCTGCGCTCGTATCCACGTTTGGTCTGAGACCCTCGTGTGGAATACTGCTTCCGCTCGGCGAATTTCAATACTGAAGCGAAAGACGCGATTATCGTCAGGCATCTACGTAGTCGGGCCTCCGGCCACTACACAAGCTGAGCTTGATCAGTGGAAAGCTCTGCAGACTCATTTCTGGTACCACAAGGTATCCCAATGAATCGGTATCGCGCTCGACTTTAAGCTCCAAAAAGAATTGCTCCTGTTCCCGCAAGGCGGGCCAGGAACAAACTGTGGTGCTTTCCCCTGACAAAACCGCTGCAGATGACGATGAGCTCTTTGATCGATGGGTGCAGCAACACCGAGAACTTTCTTCGCTGTCTACTTCACACTAAAGTCACACGGAAGTGAACGCGTGCGTTGAGCGCTATCTTGGATTTGAGTTTGCCAAACTCAAGGCGCAACGTCGACTTCCTGCGTATTGTCGCCCTGCGGCATATATAACAATGCACAGCGCTCCTGCGAGCTCGATAGTCCTTCATACGGGAGAGTCTATGACTACAGCAGCTCCATAGCTAGAGCTCACCGGACGGCGATCGACCAAGCCGTCGTCGTCTGCCCCTGACTCTTCTCGATGAGAATGATGGCTCCCACAACCGACTCGCGATGCTCTTCGAGCGTTGGAGGACAAAGTCCGTCGTCATCGGCACTCTGTGGAGCATCCCCCTGAGGTCGCCAGGTCGCCCACCGTCGTGCAGAAGACCTCAAGAGTCTGGAGCGCTTTGTGCACCGACTGCCTCGCGTTGAGGATTATTGTGCTCTGTCAGGGAGGAGCGGTTACTAGCCGCTGAGCAGGCAAATTTGTCGCTTTGTGTGGCGGTGAAGCGCCTTGCGCCGTGGGAACGGAAGTTGGTGCACTCCGCGCTCAGAACCAGTTTCGGTTCAGCTTCTGGGTGGCCAAGCTTAATTGGGCGCCACCTTTGCGCCAACGGTTCCGCGGTAGCTTGTGCCAGATCCCGGTACGGCTCAAGCAAACTCACATAAAAAATCGGTGGGTGCGCATCATTCAGCCAGATCATGGTAGAGTGCTGGTAGATTGCATTTAAAGTTCATTTTGCCACGAAACATGGCTGGTAACATTGACCTTTTCGGGGGGGGGGTCGGCGTATACGCAAGACCTCGCTTGGCCACGACCTTAAAAAATTCAATAAACCGTGGACAGAGCTTTGTCGTAAAGACAGCAGAAACTGCATGTGAAGGAAATTTTTTAGCGTTTAAAAAGATCAGGTCTTCGACCTCAATATTTTAACATTTCTTCTTCCTTTCGGTCTGTATATTCCTTCTGCATGTCTTCATCGCAAACGTGTCGTGAGACACTCAGTCTAGTAGAAAAAAATCTTCGACTTCTTTACACGGCTGACGTCAGCTTGCCGTTCGGCTAATCCTCCCCAACAAGACCTGAGCCATGGGATGGCGACTTCAGCGATATGCGTGGATTAATAAGCCCGTTCACGTAGCACGGCGTAGCTGGTGGATGAATGCACTGAATTCTTCAGAGCAAACAATACGAGTGGTGTCTTAGCGCAGACGCTGCGAAGAGCGTCTTGAACGACGCGACTCACGCGCTCGGCTTGACATTCGGTCTGCGGATAGTCCGCTGTTGACATAGTAAAACACTCTGAAGAGTGTAGACCAGACCTTCCCAGTGAAGCACGGGTCTCTATCAGAGACAATTGGCCCCGAGAGTCCATGTTGTCGAATAACACGATCGACAAGCAGCGTCATTGTAACTATACCGTCGATGGTGTCTGACACTGACGCAAGATGACCCTTCTTGCTCAAACGGCTCACAAAGAACACGACACTCGTGTTGCCTGCCGAGTCCTCTGGGAGACCAAGCACAAAGTTCATACTCATGGACTGCCAGTACCCGTAGTGTACCGGCAAAATGGCTAACGGCGCCGCCGCATTCGGAAAGGGTCTAACCCTTTGACACGTTTCACACGTGCACACATATGTGCTCGCTCACTTGTGCAGCTTGGGCCACCAATATTGGCAGCTCGCCGAGTTGCACGTCTTCTCACGATAGAGATGACCACTAAGTGGATGTTGTGGGCCTGGGCGAGGATACAGTATTTGATATCTCATAGTGGGTAACCACAATTCGTGGCGTATCCGTCGAATCGCTGCTATCATACAGCAGCCTGTTATTCAACGAATATCGGTGTAACCGTGCGCGCAAACGCGCCGACATTTTCTTGTCCAAAATTCAAACTCCTTGCACCCGATAGCCTATAGCAGCTCTACACACATACTGCCACCCGCGTATGCGGCGTGGATCAAATCCGTCACTGACGACGTCACCGCCATGACATCAGCAAGCTCATGGTTCGATCTGCGTGCCAACGCATCAGCCAAACCATTATATTTTCCTGGCTTATACTTCACCTCAAAGTTATTCTCTGTAAAGAATGAGAGCCACCTGGTCATCCTTTGCAAGAGGTGAGGCGACTGGTCGCAGAGCGTAAGGACACATGATCTGTGAATATCACAAACGGCTTCGAGCCAAGCAGGTGCACCCTGAACTTGACAAGTGCATACTTCATCGAAGAAGCTCCTTGTCGTGGACAGGGTAGTTCCTCTCCGCAGTCTTAAGTAGGCGAGTTTCTAACGCAATCACTCGATCTTGCCCCTCAGCGTCTGCTTGCAGCAGTGCACAGCTGATGGCAAGGTTTGAAGCGTCACAGACGACACCAGAAGGACGATCGGAGTCTAGCAACGCCAATGTTGGTGCATGAAAGAGGCTGTCTTTGACCCTGTCAAAAAATTCTTGATGCTCGGTGTCCCAGCGCCATTTCTTTTCCTACTCAAGGAAATTAGACGATGGCCGTGTCATTTCCGCACAATTGTGCAAGTAGCTGGCGAGGCTTAGCCACTTGCGCAAGTTCTTTATATTATTTGAAACCAGCCAGTTCACATTGCTTTGACCTTAGCGGGATCCGCTCGACGGCCACGCTTCCCAATATAACACCCAACAAGATTTTTTCCGCGCCGAAGATGCACTTATCGGCATTTTCATACAGTTTATTCGGCCGCACGCACTCGGACACTGCTACACCGCTCTCAAAGGGGAGATGTGATTTTCCACATCTGGCCTCACATGCCCCGCACAAGACGATTAAGTGTTGCTGATGCATTTGACAGCCGTCAGGCATCACCGGCCACTCCCAGAGCATCCCGTTCGGAGTACTCACTGCTGTCAGCGAAATATTACTCGCTCTGATGAGCATTCGGTAAAACATATCGAGCATTGTACTCTGTACAGCCAACGATATTGTTCTGGAGAACATCCTTTCTATGGATCGGTGTTTGTGCCGGATTTGTGGCAGCGTTTAGTTTATTATAATGGTTAGCGATACACCACTTGCCGTTTGGCTTCCGGACACAAAACGTAGGTGTCGAATGGGAAGACTTGCTCGAACGCGTCATTTCTGCGTCCTGCTTTGCACGAAAGAAGGCATCACTGACGTCATACTGCTCTTTGGACCGGGGCCATTGGCATGTTACGCAAGATTTGGTTTCCGGAACCAGGTCAATCTCATGACGCACACCTCGGTCCGGAGGTAGAACTGACGGCGGGTCTTTGGATACGACGTCTTGGAAGACCCTTACGAAAGAATAACGAAAACCCCATTAGGATCGACGATCTGCTCCGCGCGTTCAGCACCTTCTTAGTGTCCTCCAGAAAGCTTGATCTAAAAGCGAAGACGAATTATTTTCCTCGTTCAGTCACATAATGACCACCTCGGCTAAATAGTTTGCCTTCGAGAAACCGCCAAATCTTCGGAGGACATCTCTTTCAGCTAAAAAAAGTATCCACCGCGGAAATAGATTTGAGGGTAACGTCGTCGTCTTCCTCCCCCATTATACCGTTGACAAGGGTATATAGCTGTGCGCTATCGTATACGGTAGACACACTCTGGGTCAGGGTCGACGCCCTGCGTCTGGCAGATATCATACGGCTTCGCCGTCTCATCTCGATAGGGGTTTTACGTCTCATCGAGATCAGTGGGAACACACACTTGGCGTCGTTCAGTGTTCCCGCTCCTTGCTCCATTGGAGCCTTGTTATTATTAACAGCATCCGACGAATAACTACTAACTCCGCAGTCTTTGCCCAGTGGATAACGTGCCACTCTACGTGCATCCAGAGTGCCGCGCCCTGGATGCCTCGGACCTCGTCCCACCATGCTATTCTTTGCAAGCAGCAACTGCTTCGTAACGTGAGCAGTGCTCAGTGGTTTACGTGCCACTTCACATGCATAACAAGGGTCTCGTCCTTAATGCCTCAACCCTTGGCCGACCATGCCACTCTTGGCATGCAGCGACTGTTCCAATACTTGCGGAGCGCTCAGTGATTTACGTATCACTCCGCGTTCAGCCCGCGAACCACGCTCGAAACTCTTGTCTGAAACACTTTTGGTTTTTGACAACTCGGGAATCTCGGATATCTAGGACATTGACCGTCCAGGTCCGGTGCCCGCGCCAGTAGCGATTCTGCTTCCTAGCAGGGGGAAATTCAAGATTCTCCACAGCTCAAACCGGGAGACGTGAGCGTAGCGTCTATGGTCTTCGACGTTCAATCGACCCATGGTTCATGATGTTGCAACCATGCCATACCAAGAATGAGAACATACTTTGAATCGAAGTCTAACACGAAGCAGCATTTCACGCTATCAGAGTAAATAAAGAGATCCACTGGGACCCTCGGCATTGTGACTCATGCCCCCCGTTGCTGAGCGAACAGTGACAATATCACTTAATCGAGCTTTCAGCGCATCGGCACACTGCTAATCGTGGTGTGTCGACCATAATTGCCGGCTTCTCAAAGCCCTTCACGGTCGCTTTCACGACCAGCAAGCCCATATTGTATTTACGTTTCGTGTTCAAGAGCACGGAGTTTTTCGGGACTGGGTCCTGTTGACCTTTACCTCCTTGAGACTCAATAGAACTCACTTCGGCCACCCGCGCCTACTAGATGTCGTCGTTTCCCCGCGATAGACCAGACGACTGGAAAAGAACGAGACGTAAGCTCGATGTACCTTGACGCGCCTTACACAAGGGACAACCAGTCCGTAGGTGACGAAGACAAAGAGTTCGAATGCTGCTCGGAAGCCCGGAACTCAGCATACTCTTTCTCAGCACGGCTGAGATCCATCGGCTCAGGCCCGCTCGATGAGCTGCTAGAGTGTACATTCCGACCTAGTCGTGCCGATATCAGCTGAATTTGGCATTCAATACTACATTTACTGCTTCTTCAAAATAAGTCGGATGCACACGGAAGGCTACCATTCTGCCTACGCCAGTGCAGGGGTTTTCATAATGAGGGTCACTGTGACCGCCTGGAGAAGAGGACCGGCCGCCATACCGGCAATATGAGTACACAACTCGTGGACAAAGTTCACCACCTCCTTCTCGCCCTGTCGGGTAGCAAGTAAACGCGATCGCATGCGATCACTCGTAAGGCTGCAGCTTCAGCCCCGTTCGTGAGGAAAATGCCGCTTTGATCGAAGTGACGCACGTCAGTGCCCGCTATTGTGCTCGACCACCGAGCTTGTAGATGACTAGTGCCACGAGCTGTTGCTCGATCTGACGCGTGGCTGGCGCCATAGCCATCACGGCCCCTCTCATCTAGAGCAGGAGATTTTCTCCATCCTTGCCCTCCTAGATCTTGATGGACGCCGTGAGCGGCCTGGGTCAGGAGGAGTCATCCATCGTCGACGGTGGCCTCATATACGCAGTCGATGCCGACAAATTCTGCTGTAGGTGCTCTAGCGGAGCATTGGCATGGCTCGAAAACACCTATAGAAGCGCGCCGATGGCTTCAGCTCCCTACAAAATTGGATTGACTAGAAGTGCCACCAAGTGCAGCGGGGCTGCCGTAGATCTGTTGCGTAGAAGAAGCTAAGATAATGCCACCGACCTTCGACTAGTACGAGTGTAGCGGATCGAGTTACTCCAAGGGCAACCTCAACATTGGCCCAAGCCAAATCATCTCTTCCCTTTAATATGTAAAACTGCTTTCCCCGCTCAACCATATCGCAAGGCTTGCTGTATTAGAAGACTGTGTCACACGACGCTAAGTGTGCAGTGATGCCTCACATGATGAGAACCGTATGAGACAAAGTACCGTCTTTCATTCGCAACTTTAATATGTGTGAGAGTGAGTCCTTTTAATATGTAAAACTGCTTCCCCCGCTCAACCGTATCGCAAGGCTTGCTGTATTAGAAGACTGTGTCACACGACGCTAAGTGTACAGTGATGTCTCACGATGAGAACCGTATGAGACAAAGTACGGTCTTTCATTCGCAACTTTAATATGTGTGAGGGTGAGTGACTACACATTTGCGCCGGTGGGAAGCATTAGCGGCTTAGAAGCTCGCAGTATGCGGCGGTAGCTGTAGCCGGCCAGTCGATGTGGTCAGTGGCTCTAGGGATGTGTTTATATTCAAAGTCTAGCATGATAAACCGACATTCAGGTGTCAGTGGACCATTCCAGTAAGATAAATTATTTTAATGCTGTCAGCGATGGTATGATCGGTAAGATTACAGACATACGGGTTTACGATCATGTCTACCGTCAGCATCGATTGTAGGTAGACATTTCATCGCACAGAAATCCATGCCTTACTGCTAGCTTCCACCCCATATTGTTCACGATACGCACCACCAGATACGTCCAAACAAAATGTGCGAATCGCGTTTTGAAGGATAACACCCAAAACTCTTGCGCATAGAGACAATCATTCCATGCGAGTTGCTTCTGCCCATTGATTTACGTTTGTCTACGCACCTCATGCTTCTAAAACCTCTTCTCAATTTTCAAAAATGGCTTGGTAAATCTTCGGCTGCCTTGACATCGCCACAAAGAGGTTTCGGTCTCATCAGAAATGAGATGTTGATCAGATTCGATTTGTTCAGTTCAAAGAGTTTTTATTATACAAGTGGGATTATACGTCATGCACAGGGTGCGTGACGCCATCACTACGAGTTTAGATAAGTAAACACAACTCGGTGAAACGGAGGCAGATGACACACTGTGTATCAAGAACCTCAAGCATTCTGTTGCATATTTAGTGGTTTGGTGGTAACTTTACTCGGTTATTTTTTGGCTATGATAGAATGCGCAAGTATGTTGTGAATTATTTTTTATAGGATGCAATAAAAAATTACACTTGCAGAATATGCAGTCCAAAAACATCAACTTTACTGCGTACACACTACATCGGTTGTTTAATTATCTTAGCGATGACGGAATGATATTTAATTTTGAAGCACAAAGAAAATACAGACATCATGCGCTGTCTGTGGTCTAACTGAATCCATATCGTGATACGGTTCTGTTGAGCCAGTTTAGAATGAAGCTGCTGACAGAGCAGTACGCTACAGTTGAGCAACTTCCTGACATCAGAGTAGCGATGCATTTCCAAACCACCTGACACAACCCAAGACGGACAGCGCAATGGCAAAGAGGGCTAAGCTAAGATATATCTCACTTCCGTGTCGAACTCACGTTAGGCTTATTAAGCAGAGTCACGTGTCACGAGTTACTAGAGCCGAGAACCCCCAGCTTCATGGGGCAGAAACTTTACAGTATGGGCAAAGGGCAGACCATTTCCACGCGGAGAGTTTTATGGCTAGATAGGTACACCATTACCTGAAAAGCTGAAGGGGGACTCTTACTTAAAGAAACCTGCTTCAGTTCGGCAAGACTGCCCACCGCTAACGACCTGGCGTACCTTTGGTCGTTATATCCTAAAGAAAACAGACAGGGTTGCTCGTCGTTGCGCTCTTTCCACTATTGCGTGGTGACCAGCCTCACGGTAAGTGAATTATTTACTGATTGTTAAAACTGTCTCGTAACGATGAGCATAGCCGATAACAGTTGGTCTTTCGGGTGTAGAATTGTCGACTCAATATCTCGCTGTAGTTGACGAACTCAAGTATGAGATAACATTTTAGTCGGATGTCCACTTTGCTGAAAACGGCTCGGAAACTTTTTCAAAGGGCAAGCCGGCGCAGTATCTCACCAAGTGTATAACTAACACTGATACTCATCAGCACCTTTGCCAGCTCCGCGACCTTTTGTGCTTGCAGCTAAACAAATTGAATAGCGATTTGAGCTCAGCGGCGATGTGTCTAGAACTTATAAGCTGGAAGAGAAGGATACGGAGTTCGACACTCTAGCAGCGAAAAGACTGAGCGCATTGAGATCCTTCACTTTGAAGAGCGTTCAGAATGTGTATTGCTGATTGAAAGTGATGTGTAATCTATCTGGACCCGAAGAGTCACCATGATCGTTCTCATCACAGAACACCCCCGCGTCATGAAAGAGAATTACTCCTGAGCGTGTTGGTCGCGAAGCCCGCGCTGTTGTAGATAATCGGTAAACAATTTGTTCTGTTGTTGGGGTGGAAGACGGTGCAAGTATACTCTAAAAAACAGGCATGTTTAAATGCAGATTTGTGCTGAACGCCGCGCGCGGTGGCTGGTCACTTTTTGCGCAGTGTCCCGAAGAGGGAAAGTAAATGTACATTTCAGCGTGGTCATTATCGTGGTACGGAGGATGAGATGAGATTAGTGCTTTTTATCCTCACACCCTCGGTGTAATTGTACTGCATAAGATTTGGTCCAATTGTACGAAATCCACATTGCACTTTGGCGTAACTGTGAATATTTAAAAGCATTTGAAACCTGAGCTTGACGCGCGTCAAAAATTGACCTTTAGTATAAGGATTAGTAGACCATATATATTTATTAATATTCTCATTTTTAGTGTACGTTGAAATCGCAGAGCGTAGTAGGCGGCTAGAAACGGTGGAAGCTCCCGATACCGCTTTTGGTGGAATTTAAAATTTTTGCAGCTGTGTGTTGTTATTGCAGACTTTTAACGTTAAGGATTTCTGTGCGCGCACTGCACGGCAACCCTGTTGTCAGACTTTAGGTTTAACTTTATACAAAGCTGCAAACTAACGGATTTTTACGAATAGAAGACCTTCTACTATTACAAGCCCCCATCGAATTT